GAAAAGCTTTATAAAGTAGAGGAAGCAAAGGCCCTTGGCCATTGGCTAAGCCACAGCGAGAGTTAGTTGGAACGTTACTGATACAAGGAAGAAATGGTAGATACTGGAAACAGGAGTCCACCACTGGGATAGTCTCATGAGTCAGGATGGCAGGGTACATCCTTTGCCATGCAGCATGAGTTGGCCTTAAGTCCTCCATTCTCCTGTTCATTATAGGCATGTGCCACCAAGCCTGGCTTGTTTTGGACTGAGGTTAGGGATTATTTTCTAAGAAGATCATACTTTTCTAACATCAAATGCATCAAAAATATTACCAGGCAAAAACTTTATGTGGTGGCTAATTTTATATCAACTTGACACAAGCTATCTTAACTGAGGAAACCTTAACCAAGAAAATGTTCCCACCAGATCAGCACATGGACAAACTTTTGTGGGCATTTTTTCTTCTTGATTGCTGATTGATGTGTCAGGATCCAGCTCACTGTAAGAGGTACCACTCCTGCTGTGTAAACCATGGGGATAGAGGCAGTGAACAACGTTCTTCTATGGCCTCTACTTCAGTTCCTGCCTCCCAGTCCCGGCTTTCTTCAATAATGAACTATGATTTGGACCTATAAACTGAAATAAACCTTATCATCTCCATTGCTGAAAAGAAAAAAAATCCTTACCAGATAATGACTGATGAACCAACAGAAAGGTAAAACATAAGCTTATAGAATTCTTAAGAAAGGGCTTTTGGGAGTGTTGATTGGGGTGTATGTTTTAGATCTTTACCAAAGCTGAGGTGGACCCTTACTTCCTGAACACCAGGGATAGGGAATGAGTTTTTCAATGAATGAGTTAATCAAAGCCTAATGAGCAGATGGTGAAAGATTATATGTCTGTGTTCTCTCTCTCTCTCTCTCTCTCTCTCTCTCTCTCTCTCTCTCTAGTGTGTGTGTGTGTGTGTGTGTGCATATGCATAAAACTTGTGACAAATAAATAAATTGAAGGTCAGAATTTCACAAGGCATGATAGTTTACCTAATCCTCATCTCCCTAGGGTCTCATTGTTGTAATTTCCTTTTTATGGGCAATATCTCAGTTTCTACCAGAGTGAAGCCTCTAGATCATTAGTGGTTAACAGTGTTAAACTGACTGGAAGAAGAGCTGTGGTATGTGCACAGATGGGTGAATGTACACGATGACATTTATAATAGTAATAAGCGCGCACAGGCTCTAACAATCTATAGTATCTGCTATCACCCTCGTTCTGATGCTGAGAAAATGGAGGCACAGACAGTTCTGTATCCTGGTTGAGGTCACACAGCTGCTAAGTAGGCAAATCCTACAGGCTTTCAGATATCTGCTAACCATTTAATGTGTGGAGACAGGACCAAGCTGTACTTTGCAAACAACCTTCTGGATCATTGCACTCTCTTTCTCCTCATTAACTCCACCAAATCTTGTGTAATTTAAAAACAATCCAAATTTCCCCAAATCAAACAATTCTAATGTATCATCAGTTGGCAATCATGCCAATTGGGAGCTCTCTGGGAGGCAAGCCTCTAATTGATTTCACATAAATGCATCTCTTCAACATTCCATTATTTCAGCTCATTAATTATTTCATTTGGTGCCTCACAGTGAAGTCAGAAGAACTGGCACTCTCACTGCATGAGTTAGGTAGATCTACTGATCAGCCTCCAGCAGCCACATTACCTGGCTTTCCCCCAAAAGTCTTGATTTCATAAAATCCTGTCATTTAATCTCATAAATTAGCAATCAAAATGTCCTGTTGGTTAAAGTCATCATCCTGGCAGAAAGAAATAAATTTTCTTTTCCTGACCAAGCATTTTCATTAATTATGAGGTATGGTTGCCTTGGCACTGCAGGTTCTACTAGCCTTCAGCTAGACCATCATGCAGTGCACAGCACAGAAGGAAACAGACACAAAGGTTAACAACCCTAGCGAGATGGAGAAAAGGGCTTTAGAGTGGGGACCAAAACAACCCTGGAGCCTGGAGCCAGCTTTGTGGGTGCTTTTGATATAAACATGGTGACCTATGCTCAATCCTCAAGACTCACTTGGAAATCTGGGCATGGTAGAGCACAGTGCTGGGAAAGCAGACAAAGCCATATCTCTGGGGCTCACTGCCCCAATAGTCCAGCCTAATCATCATTGAAGTGATGCCTGAGGTTGACCTCTGGCCTTCCACAGATAAGAACACATACACGTGCACCCTTACACACACACATACACACACATACACATACACACACACATACACACACAGAGAGAGAGAGAGAGAGAGAGAGAGAGAGAGGGAGGGAGGGAGGGAGAGAGAGAGAGGGAGGGAGGGAGGGAGGGAGGGAGGGAGGGAGGGAGGGAGAGAGACCCTTTGGAGATAGGTATAGAATACATTTTTAACTGATCTCAATCTCCATGCAATATTTTTGTAGAGTCCACATTCATCACTCCGGCTAATAACAGCCATCATTCATTATTACAAGCTAACTTTTCATCTAGAGGAGACAAAGATCCCAGAGACCATGTTTACTTGTGTCTGTCTGCTGCTGAGCTGAATGCCTGCCACTGTCCACAGTTCCTCCATATAGTTTGCTTACAGCTGCACTATAATGAATAGATAGGTGCTTTGGGTTATACTTCCTATTCGTCTCTCTGTTGTTTATGAGGTTCCCTTGACACTTTGCAGGCTCTGTTAGTTTAGAAATAACTGTCATGTTTGAATATTTTTCATTAAATAAAGGATAGTGTCTTTAAAAGAGAGAAAAGGGGGCAGAAGATGTGGCTCAGTTGGTAGATTGCTTGCTTAGCATGCATGAAGCCCTGGGTTCAATCCCCAGCATTGAATAGATGTGGTGGCTTATGCTAGGCATTTCATCAATGGAAGGCTGAAGGCAAGACGACCAGACTTTCAGGATCACCTTGGCTCCACAGTAGATTTGAGGGCAGCCTAAGCTACATGTGACTCTGTTCAAAAAAAAAAAACTAAATAAAAGAATATACAGGAAACTTGATCTGTTTCTTATCGAAAAAGAATAAGGCCTGAAGTTGCAGCTCCACAGTAGAACACTTTCCTAGTATGTACAAAGCCCTGGGTTATATTCCCAGCATAATTAAAGAAAAATATACAGACAGACACAGCTTATAAGATAAACTAGTTGGTGTACTACTTGTGAAGAAGTAGATACTAGCTGGCCATAGTGGCACATGAGGTACATGGAATTCAATGAATTCCAGGCCAGTTTGATGTGTAAAGCAAGCTCCAGGATAGCCAGGACTACCTATAGAGACCCCATCTCAAGCAAATACACAAAGTACAAATGAATAAACAAAATAGCCACAACTAGATCCTAGAACACATTTCTGCTTCTAAAGTTGTAAAACTCAAGATATATGCTATGCTGGATCTGGCCTCATCAAAGACTAATGACTGATGTGCTCTCCTTTCCTTTCCTTTTGAAAACAAGTGCCCATGATCTTCTCATCCTTGTCTTAACACTGCATGTTTGGAGGGCCATTAGGACATATGAACAGTCTTTTCAGTCTATGTTTCCAAAGCAAGAGAAACTCGTATGTGGGTCCAAAACAGTGAGCCTTTTATGCCATGGGTTCAATTGCATTTCAAGGAATGCAGTGATTTGTATTTTGCATGTGGAAGAGAATGAATTGCTGTGGTCAGAAAGTGCCCTGTGGTATATATCATTTCCAAAGGTGGCAACCAACTGGTCTACAGCCTGGATGTGTTCCTGGATGTGTTCATCTTGCATATGTATGGCTCTCTTAAACCAATAAATAAAATGGATGCAGCAATCTGGAATGCCAAGTCCCAGGTTAACAAGTCTCTGAGCTTCTTACCTGTTTCTTTTGTGGATCCAAACACAATATAAAGAATTAAAGTCCATTTACAGAATTCTGTGAGAGGCCCAATCACTCCACACATTTCATTTCCCTCAGTTGGGATGCTGACTGTATTCAATTCATCCTGAATCCTCTGGCCTCAGGTAATCCAACCCCCAATTACTACACAAGTTACTGGCTGTCAAACCCTACTTCAAACCACAAATAAGTAAATGATTTTTGTTTTCCTGGTTACTAAACTGTGAGTGATAGATTATGTAACAATAAAACCTGAAAGACATGTTTAAATGGTAGAAGTGGCAACACACTGAACAACGTAATTTAATAAATTTACTCAAAGACTTCAGTATTTGTGATTTTTGTTTACTTATTTTCTCATAACCATTACTTAAAAATAGTCAAAGTGCTGTAATTGGATGAATAACAGACATCAGGACAGCAATAAAAAGTGATGGTAAGTTCTGCCAACATGATTTGTATGCCAAGCAACAAAACTAATTTGATCCATGACCCATAAAGGACATTTAAACATAAGCCAATGGCCATGTACCTGGATAAGAGCTCAATGCAAATCACCATGGTTTTATTAATATAAATAAAAAGACATTAAAAATTACAAGAATCTTTTTCATTTTTACTTCAGATTATTTGATTCTTATCTACCCATAAATGACAGAACCAAAAATACATAACTATCTTGGGAAGTTTGACTTCATTATTTTAAAAAGTTTGCTCAGAGGCCTTGAAGGTGAATTACATAACACAATTGACCAAATACATGTCTCAGCAGACAGACCACATACTACATGAAACAGACTTGAAGGCCATGCTGTTGAAAGATGTTATGATGTGGATGGTACTTTGGAGCCATGTGGCTTAGCAGTGGTGTACAGAGAGCCTTTGGTAGACAATGATGAAACATGATATTGCCCTGAAAAAAAAAAAGCTGGGGTGCTTGTAGTAGCTGAGTGACACATGACTAATGATGGAACATCTACCTAACTGCATAAACATATAACTGTCCATGAACTCTGGGGGAATGTGGAAAACTGAGCTGATCTGGCCTTGTGGGATCAGGACAGTAAAGAGTGCATAATGCACATAAAACCACTGCAGTTATAGAGGATGTGGCTTACCTGACAGGCTGATGGGTGGGTGTGGTTAAGGTCCCAATGGGAAGACACTATGTCAACTGATTTTTTGGCCATGTTGAGTAAGTTCATCCAGCCTTGGAAAAGCGGTAAGTGAAATGGGGCATCTTCAGAGTAGTTAAGGCCTTCAGGAATGTTTTCCACAAGGGCGATTCTTAGAAAAGATTTTGAAAAACAAACAAATAAAAGCTAGTCAGATTTGAAGCCATTGATCTCTCTTCATACATGCATACAGAGAAACATGGAAAGTGATCTTTAAGTTTTCTGATTATATTTTTCTGACAATTTATGTTTGTTTACCGAAGGCCTCTTACATATTCCCTACCCTAACCTGAGGTATTTTAAAAATTAATGATGTTTTTCCTTAGTGCTCACTCATATTTCAGAAAAATATAGTAAATGCCACTAATGTTGTTTTAAATTACTCTTGAAAATGAAAATATACCAGGGCTTCTTATAAAAGTTTTTTTTTTTCCAGAAACATATTCCTAATGATTCCCCTGGAACAATCCAATTTTTCTATAAGATACAACTCCCGGAAGCTGTTTGAGAGCATGGATTAAAATTTTCATATCTGTGTGTCTAATACAATGTTGGATATATATTGGAATTCAATAAGTGTAGTTATTATGGCTTAACATTTCTATTGGTACTTCCCAGCTCAAGGAGAAAAGCAACAGTGAGAAGAAAGTGATAAACTTCCTGGTTCAGAGTTTCATTGAAGTTAGCTATAAAGAATATGTTAAATGATAATAACCATAGCTTAGACAAATGCCAATCAACAGCATCCTAGCAATCTTTCTGCTTTATTATTTTTAATATTATGGAAACATGTTTACTGTGGGCACCTGTCTTTGGCATTGCCCTTCAAACAACTTTTTCCACTATTGATTTAGGTGACATATAATTTCATTTTGTTATTTATTTCTGAGATTGCATTTTAATAACTACATTTATCCCTTCAATTTGCTTCCTCCAAGCCCTCTCATATACCCTTCCCCACTCTCCTTCAAATTCATATCTTCTCTTTCGTCAGTTGTTATTGAAGACACATAGACTCTTGATGAAAGGGTGAATACTTTGTTTCCAGTTTACTACTTGTATATTCTTCTATAAATGGAGAAATCCCCAACCTCATGAAGTCATGTGTTAAATGTTTCCAGAACAATGATCTGGTTTATTCATGGTTGAATTCCCAGACACAGGTGCACAGCTGGGGGCTGGGATGGAGCTCAGTGATGGGTCATGTACTTATTGTGTATGATACCATGGGTTTGATTTTAGCAACACACACACACAATCAAAACTTGATAAATAATTATCAAATGGTTTTTAGCTTTCAACACAGAATTTAGCATTTCTTAGTAAACTTATTAACTGGTATTCTTTTGAGATTCCATTTACCCATATTCAGAAATAAAAAAAAATGTTACCAACAAAATGGTCTTGTATAATAAATGAATCTAGACTATTAGAGCTAGACTAAGGTTTTGTGTATGTGGCTCAAGTTGTTCTCTGTGTTGGATGTAATCACTTCACTTCTACCTATGGATTTGCTGTTTGTTGATTTCCTAATAGGGAAAGGGGAGGATAATCAAGTCACACAGAAATGACTGTGAAAGCTCTCCTTGCCTCCCAGGAACTCACTATGTAGTGGAGACCCTGTCCCAGACACGCTGACTTGAACAGGAAGCACACTGCTGTGAGAGGTAAGATCTGAGTAAGAAGGTTGATTGGAATATGGGCAAAGAGGAAAACTCTAACTCTGGTTAGGGACATCTGGAATTGGAGGAGGCTGGATGTGATATGAATCTGAGATACTTTGCAGAGTAAGTCAGAAGAAGATATTCAGGGTCAAGGGAACCGTTTGATGTATCTGAACATTTGTGAGTTGGTGAGCAAGTAAGCAAGTGAGGCAGGAGAGTGTGATTGCATCTTATGAGGTGGAGGAGACTGGAAGTATCCATTGAGCAGATACCATGGAGGCTGTGAACAGAGAGGAAAAGTTTTGATGCATTTGGGAGCAACCAAATGTGTTTCCAAGGACTAGTACATGCATGTGACTTGAAGAGAGAGATGGAGAATTAGATGGTGACTAGAAGAGGGGAGTGGAGGTTGAAATCCTTTTGGCAAGAAAAGCAGAATGTTTGAATTAGGTAAACGGGAATAATAAGAGGCATGCAGCAGGCCTTTTAGAGGCCAAGTCTTCAATATATAGTGGTATTATGAGTAGAGGAATGTGCAAATGAGAAACAGACAGATCACATGGACTCTGATTTCCTGCCGGGACAGCATGTTGTCTCTGAGCTGGCTCTTCCAATGTTCCCCTTACAAGGACTTGTGCCCTTTTCCAAACCATCTTCTTCCACGGTTGGATTAATCTTTTAAAAGAGTAAATTGGCCTTTTTCTGAGGTTGTAAACCACAGTTGCATTTTTCTTCCTTCCCTGCTCATCTCTGTGGACCCCAACATAGCAAGTGCACTCCTAAGTCCCAACTCCTATACTGACAATTGAGTGATCTCAATAAGATGTCTAATTTCTGATTTAAACATCATTTTTCTTCAGGCTTCCCTACACTCACAACATTGAATGACATTTCCTTATCATCAGTCCTCATGGTGACATGTTCTTCCCCTGTCATCCTACACATCACTCTAAAAAATATATCCCATGTCCAAGATTGTTTTCCTAGATATTGTGTGTGTGTGTGTGTGTGTGTGTGTGTGTGTGTGTGTGTGTGTAAAGGAACATGCTCCATTGGTCCAGGAATATAGATCTGTACCTAGCATATTGCACACAAGGTACCCAAAGAATCCATATACTTCTTCCATTAAAATCTGAACAACTGGAAAGATGGTGATTAAGTCAGTTAAAGATAATAAGGAACTTGGAAAAAGAGGTAAAATGGTACTTGATGTATTTATAAAGGTAGAAAAGATGAGCAGAAAACCACCTTAAAGTCTGATGTAAAAGAAACGCCTGTTTTTCTGGTTGGTAGAATGTGAAACAGATGAGAAGATTCAAATGGGGCCACTAAAGAAGGAAGCCAAGCAAGCCAGGCTCAGGAGAAACAAGTGTTTGAGAAGTCAATGTGAGAGAGGGTTAAATGCTGTCTACTCCAAAACACACAGAGGCAGTAGACAGTGCCTGAAGGTAGATATTTAATTCCAACCACATTTGAAGTCCAATTATCTGTTAGTAGAAGCTAGGCTGAGTGTGAATAAATGACTCAAGATCATAACCAGCTTCAGGCTCCCTGACACACAATGCACATATTTCAAAACCATCCAACAAGCATTAAATCATCCCCTATCAAGCTGAAAACACAATGAAGGTTATAGAATGATGGTACATCTGTAGATTGCTCGAAGTCAAGCCATTCTTTGCACTGTTCCATGTGGCCTCTGCTGGGCATATAAATAAATCAGCATTCCAAATTTAATTTGGAAACCATGGTGTTCTTTTCATTGAATCTATACACAGAACTCACGGCTAACCTATGAACTTGGATTCTGACATTTTTGTTTTCTTTAATCTCTAATTGAAATTTAGCATTCCCTTTATGTATGAACAGAGGGGAGAAATTTTAGCAGAATCTTTTTTTGGACAGTGTTAAGAATTTTCCTAGCTTTAAATCCCTGTTATGGTAAGCAGAATCAGGCAAATCTATGAGTTCATGATCAGATAGAGCTATATGTTGAGATCCTGTCTAAATTTTTATTTTATTTATTTAATTTTGATATTCAGGTTGTTTCTATTTCCCATTGAAAGCAAGAGCAAAAAGATTGTAAGAGTCAGAGGGAGTAGATTTCTTCAGGAAAACAACATTGCTGGATATGACAGTGTAGTTGCACATGTACTCACAAAGGCTAGGTCTGTGTTTACTAGACCCACACAAGATCAACCCAGTCAAAATTCCAGCAGGGATGAGGGGGCTCTGAAGTCCCACCCTTAGCTGATAGTGCTATTGCAAGTTGATGGCTGATGTGAGAGTAAGAGTCACTTCTCTTCAAGGATGCCAGACCTGAGAGACTATTCCCCATGCTCTAGTAAATGCTCCCACAACCATGCACATATAAGGAATTCTAAATGGACTTGGTGGGTACCAAAATAAAGGAATGGGGATGGATAGGAAGAGGAAGAGAGAAGTTGAAGTAGGAAAAAAAAAAGGTAGATGGGGGGATAGAGGAGGATTTGGAGAGGAAGGAAAAAGAGTTAAGGGTGGTGGTGGACTGGGTCCAAGAATACTACATGCATGTATAAATATTAAATAATTTAAAAATAATTTTCATTTTTGAAAACATGATGTCATGTACATTACTATTCACAGTACAAGACAAGAATAAGGAGTATGAATGGTGAGTGGTACACCATATTTTACAGGAAAGATTGGCTTTCTAAGGTGGTCTGTGCATTTTCTACAAAGTCTTCATGTTGAAATATCAATATCAGTGTTGTTCACAAGTGAGAATCCTGGGAAGTTGCTAAATCTGTCCCTGTAATCATATGGAACCTTATTTGTCATGGTTAGTGGAGAGAAAACAGATACTATAAATTCAAGAATAGTAGACTACTGTGTTCTATGAACTTCCCAAAGGCAGTTTGTCCTGACAACATGGCTACCTCACATTACTCTCAAGATGATACAGATATTGAACCTACAGCTTCACTATGTAAAAACAAACACCAAACACACACACACACACACACACACACACACACACACACACACACACACCAAAACATTCAAACAACAACAAAAAGAAACTGGTACTAGTGTTGACCTGAAGATGGGATCATTTGTGACTGAAATGTTAAAGGTGAAGTTCAATTCTTTGAAAACATCAATTTTAACTACAGATATATTACATTTAAAAACATTAATGGTTTGTGATATTATCTCTAGCACAATAATAAGGTGCTGTGTTCTTGGAAGTAAAGATGCACCCCCACTTGTTAGACTGTCCCAGTACCACACCTGCAATGGACCATATCATGGAACTGTAGGCAACAAATGCCTTTAAGGATGACAGGCTCTGAAGGATGACACATGAGTGTGATGCAGATGGCCACTCCTATTTCATACCTTAAAGTAGCTCCTGCACAAGCGTCAAAGATGACACATGCAAGAATCCTTAAAGAGTATTGTAACA